AATTTCGTTGAATAACAGTGCTTATCGCTGGGTGACAAGCTCTTGTAATATGCTGAGAACATTTTGAAAATGACATCTAATCAATATAATATATAATCTTTTTAAACCTAACTATTTTGTACCGTATCCGTGTAATTCTCTAGCCTTAAAGGCTATCTCTCCCGGGTTTTCTGCTATGGCAGGCCGGAAGGTCCAAAAATAAGACTAATAACTTGTTGCGGGAAGTCACTATACTATTGCCAGGAGCTACTGAGTTTGCCACGACTCACCTTCCTCACACGGCGGGCGACTCACTCTCCTCAGCTGGCGACTCACTCTCCTCACACGGTCGCCCGCCGTGTGAGGAAGGTGAGTCGTGGCAAACTCAGTAGCTCCTGGCAATAGTATAGTGACTTCCCGCAACAAGTTATTAGTCTTATTTTTGGACCGTCCGACCCGCCATATTCTGCAACCATGATGCGCGTGCATCCTGAATGTTTAATATAATTGGTCTATAGAAACAGTCAACGTTCTGGAGATGCACGCTTTGGACTGCGTATGGAAGAAAAATAATGCCATATGTCTTTGAAACAAAAAAGCACGTTGAATAGCACTAACTGAAAAAATAATGCATTGCATTATCAGTGCTTGAATTTTAATGAAAATAATGCCATATGTCTTTGAAACAAAAAAAGCATTTTGAATAGCACTAACTGAAAAAAATAATGCATTGCATTAACAGTGCTTGCATTTTAATGCCTTGTATTTCAAGGGCTTGCATTTTTAGGTCCTGAAATTTAACATAGTTGTTTATTTAAGATGTGAATATTTCAATTCAAAATATTTCACACACATTTTCATAATTAAAAATTAAATAATTCATATTCACCTTCCAGAATTCACTTACAAAATATTCAATCTGTTATATTATACAATGTATAATATTCGACAGGCAAATTTCGGTCCATTTTATTTCACTTTCCAAATTCGCTTCCACAAATTCAATGCTTAAAATTCAGCAGAAAATTCGCCTTTGCACATCGGGGAAGACCACTTATAAGTAGTAATAATAATAATAATAATAATAATATTAAAAATAATAATAATTTTTTCTCTCAAACAGCTATACGATCAGATATCAGATCAGATGAATGTGTAATATGACACCCGTAATTTCGTTCATATCCTCATCTGCCTGTTTGTAGTTTGCATCATCAGTAAGATCTGAGTTTGGTCTGTTAATAGGTGTCGTTGCATTAGTGCACTTACTGAAGTTTCTGCTGAATTCTAACCACTGAATTTGTGGAAGCGAATTTGGAAAGTGAAATAAAATGGATCGAAATTTGCCTGTCGAATATTATACATCGTATTTTTAAACAGATTTAATATTTTGGAAGAGAATTCTGGAAGGTGAATATTAATTATTGAATTTTTAACTATGAAAATGTGTGTGAAATATTTTGAATTGAAATATTCACAGCTTAAATAGACAACTATGTTAAATTTCAGGACCTAAAAATGCAAGCCCTGGAAATACAAGGCATTAAAATGCAAGCACTGTTAATGCAATGCATTATTTTTTCAATTAGTGCTATTCAACGTGCTTTTTTGTTTCAAAGACATATGGCATTATTTTTCTTCCATAACTGCGCATTGGCTGGTCTAGCCTGAAAAAAACGCTTTTTAACGCTATTGGAGCATAAGAAGTAACATTTATGAGACAGTTGTTGTCAGATTTCATTGGCGATTTCAAACATGAAATTTAATAGTAAGCTTGGCGAACAGTTTAGGAGAATTTGATGTTTCCCCATTCAAAGAGATAGGAGCTGCACTTGCATGCCCGAGAGGCATTTCAAAGATGGGCGCCGAGTGACATGACTAATTAGTTTACATTTCATTACTAACTATTAAAGGAACTTTGATATGAAAGGCTGAGCGGCGCGCCAGTCTTCAGTGGGCTGGAGTCAAATAATGACGCGGTTATAGGGTGTTTATAATTTAAACAACTTAGTCAGCACTAACAGTAGCTGATATTCAGTTTGCATACTGCTGCTCTCCTTCTATCAACTATTGAAGTCTTCCCTCTCTTAATTAAAGCTCCAGGTGAAGGGTTGCCAGTTATCACAAAAAGAGCAAAACAAGCTCATTAAAAACGCAGTATATGCAGATACCAGGGAACAAAAAAAAAAAAAAAAAACTAGCATTATTAGC